CGATAATCGGCGACACGGCTGCACACAGTGGCGATCAACACGAACGTTAAGCAGGTTTTGAGGCCTACGGGTTGAAATAAGCCGATGCTCATTCAGCAGCAGCAGCATTCGCAACCGTTTTGTTCAAATGATTGCCGCCGTAGCAACGGCCTATTGACAGTGATGACGAACTCACCGTTGTTAGGTGGCAGCAGCCTAGCAGGACGCCTATTTCGGTCGACAAGGGATCCTCGGTATGATATGCGAGGCGTGGGGGACGGCATGATGAGAAAATCTACTCCAGACGGATGGATCGAGGGCTGCAGCAGCTGATCGCAGGCCGCGCAGTCGCTTCGTCGCGTAATCTGACAGCGCCATGAATAGCAGCCAGATTCAACTGGGTCAAACAACAGTGACGCACGTCTACAGTCAGCTCAAAGCTGAATAAACCGAACGCTAGAACGAATACTCACAATATAACTCCCAGTCAAAAACATGTACACGCCTTACATCGACGTAGTTTGCGTCTAGCAAGCTACGTGAGTAGCAAGAAAAGTCCGGGATGAAGACAGAGCCTGGCGGCACGTCCGCTCCAGCCACCTTCAGATTTAGACCGGATGGCCTAACCAGCAACTTCTCATTTACAATCAAGGGCTAAATTGGAATTGCTTGACCACGCGTTCCGAGCGTTTCGTTCAAACGCTCCTTAACATTGAAACGATTTTTCTTGAGTAAGGAAAATCTTTTGCCTTGAATATTTAAGACATCACGTCAAGTTATGTTTCGTTTTATATCTATCTGTCTCGTATCGTATCATAATTACTGGAACGCAAGTTTTAAAGTCCGGGACACAAGTCTTGTCCCGGTTCATACGTTTATTCCGGGACAAATTTTATCCTCAATCCCGTTATTTTTCCGCCGGTAATGTCTTGTCCCGGTTGTCCCGGTTCATTTGGAGAAAATTATTGCGAGACGCAGGAGTCTCGGCTGTGCTGCGTTCGTGCATCCAGTGAGGGCCGCTGCTCTGCACTACCTCTGGCTGGACTGCAACCCTGCCAGTGAATGAGAGGAGTTAGCCTGTTGTGTACTGCATGGAACACCTTAACATTGTGTGTCGTTGGTATGCGCGTCATGCGCGACATAGATGGGCTGCTGCATCGTCTAAATTTCTCCATACTTGTGACCTGCACCTGCATTCTGCTTGTTACCTGCACTTGCGTCCTTCTTGTAACCTGCACCTGCATTCTGCTTGTGACCTGCACTTGCGTCCTTCTTGTGACCTGCACCTGCGTCCTTCTTGTGACCTGCACCTGCATTCTGCTTGTGACCTGCACCTGCATTCTGCTTGTGACCTGCACTTGCGTCCTTCTTGTTACCTGCACTAGCGTCTCGCTTGTTGTCTTGTTGCCCTACAATTGTACCTGCACCTGGCAGCAGGGCTGAGCCGTAACCATCGTTCGTTCAGTAACAACGACCCAGGCTTCATCAAAGCTGCAGTGAGCACGCATCGGATTATTCATCGGACGCGTCCTTTCTCCTAAAACGAATTGTTCGCTAACACTTTCTCGAGAAAATTGTTGACTGATTCAGCAGGTGAGATAGTTGAGGAATGGTAGTGAGGTAGTGTGAGGAATGGTAGTGAGGTAGTGCGAGAAACTGTAGTGAGGTAGTGCGAGGAATTGTAGTGAGGTAGTTAGGAATGGTAGTGAGGTAGTGTGAGGAATGGTAGTGAGGTAGTTGAGGAATGGTAGTGAGGTAGTGTGAGGAATGGTAGTGAGGTAGTGGAGGAATGGTAGTGAGGTAGTGCTGTCTCTTATACACATCTAGATGTGTATAAGAGACAGGCCCCATACCTGGCCACCTGTGGGGTGAGTCATGAGTGAGGAATGCCAGGATACCCCATACCTGGCCACCTGTGGGGTGAGTCATGAGTGAGGAATGCCAGGATACCCCATACCTGGCCACCTGTGGGGTGAGTCATGAGTGAGGAATGCCAGGATACCCCATACCTGGCCACCTGTGGGGTGAGTCATGAGTGAGGAATGCCAGGATACCNGGCCTCTACGTGTCTGTTAGGGCCTCCTGTGGGGTCTTCACGTGTCTTTTGGGGCCTCTACGTGTCTGTTAGGGCCTCCTGTGGGGTCTTCACGTGTCTGTTGGGGCCTCTACGTGTCTGTTAGGGCCTCCTGTGGGGTCTTCACGTGTCTTTTGGGGCCTCTACGTGTCTGTTAGGGCCTCCTGTGGGGTCTTCACGTGTCTGTTGGGGCCTCTACGTGTCTGTTAGGGCCTCCTGTGGGGTCTTCACGTGTCTTTTGGGGCCTCTACGTGTCTGTTAGGGCCTCCTGTGGGGTCTTCACGTGTCTGTTGGGGCCTCTACGTGTCTGTTAGGGCCTCCTGTGGGGTCTTCACGTGTCTTTTGGGGCCTCTACGTGTCTGTTAGGGCCTCCTGTGGGGTCTTCACGTGTCTGTTGGGGCCTCTACGTGTCTGTTAGGGCCTCCTGTGGGGTCTTCACGTGTCTTTTGGGGCCTCTACGTGTCTGTTAGGGCCTCCTGTGGGGTCTTCACGTGTCTGTTGGGGCCTCTACGTGTCTGTTAGGGCCTCCTGTGGGGTCTTCACGTGTCTGTTGGGGCCTCTACGTGTCTGTTAGGGCCTCCTGTGGGGTCTTCACGTGTCTGTTGGGGCCTCTACGTGTCTGTTAGGGCCTCCTGTGGGGTCTTCACGTGTCTGTTGGGGCCTCTAAGCGTCCGTTGCTCAGCCGTCTGTGGGGCCTTCTCGAGTCTGTTACTCTGCCTTCTTTTGGGACTTGACGCGTCTTGCTGTGCTTTGCGTGTTGTGTAGGGGACGCGTCTCAGGGATGTGTAGGGGACGCGTCTCAGGGATGTGTAGGGGACGCGTCTCAGTGATGTGAAAAGGGGACGCGTCTCAGGGATGTGTAGCGGCTCACACTCCTACCATTGTCCTGGCAACTTCTCTCTTCCTCGTGTGACTGTCCTCCACGAGGCTCACACTCCTACCATTGTCCCGGCAACTTCTCTCTTCCTCGTGTGACTGTCCTCCAAGAGGCTCATCGCTTCCTCATTTTTCCCATTGCTTTCGAGCAGAAGAGCGGCCTTACCGAGCGGCCTTGAGTTTTTTTGCCGGACGCTTGGCGGCGGCCAAAGGTCATTTGCTGGAAGGCAGCGTCGATGGCGCCACTAGCCCCTTTCTCCTGCCTCGCAGCCCTAACCCTGCTATTGTCCGCTCTGTTTTTTAGCTTCTTTCTCCCGGCCCAACAGCCTTGAGGCATAACAGGAAATACCCTAAGTTGTTCTCGCGGTTTTTTCTTTTTATCGGTTTTCAAGGAGGCACTTTCTTCAGTTTTCTTTTGCATACTGCAGTCTGAAAAGTAACTATATGTACTAATTCTTCCTAATTGTCCTACGTTCCTATATTATTTTTTTAATTTAGAGTTTTTGTCTGCTGCTTTAAAATAAGCCAATTTAATTACTCGTTAAGATAAATTAGATTACGCCCCGCCCTCTGTTAGTACTGTTAGTACAATCATTGTTGCTTGTGTATCTGATACCTCGACGACACGATACACGGCAACTGCTGCTACGGCCACGCGGTACACGGCAACTGCTGCTACGGCCACGCGGTACACGGCAACTGCTGCTACGGCCACGCGGTACACGGCAACTGCTGCTACGGCCACGCGGTACACGGCAACTGCTGCTACGGCCACGCGGTACACGGCAACTGCTGCTACGGCCACGCGGTACACGGCAACTGCTGCTACGGCCACGCGGTACACGGCAACTGCTGCTACGGCCACGCGGTACACGGCAACTGCTGCTACGGCCACGCGGTACACGGCAACTGCTGCTACGGCCACGCGGTACACGGCAACTGCTGCTACGGCCACGCGGTACACGGCAACTGCTGCTACGGCCACGCGGTACACGGCAACTGCTGCTACGGCCACGCGGTACACGGCAACTGCTGCTACGGCCACGCGGTACACGGCAACTGCTGCTACGGCCACGCGGTACACGGCAACTGCTGCTACGGCCACGCGGTACACGGCAACTGCTGCTACGGCCACGCGGTACACGGCAACTGCTGCTACGGCCACGCGGTACACGGCAACTGCTGCTACGGCCACGCGGTACACGGCAACTGCTGCTACGGCCACGCGGTACACGGCAACTGCTGCTACGGCCACGCGGTACACGGCAACTGCTGCTACGGCCACGCGGTACACGGCAACTGCTGCTACGGCCACGCGGTACACGGCAACTGCTGCTACGGCCACGCGGTACACGGCAACTGCTGCTACGGCCACGCGGTACACGGCAACTGCTGCTACGGCCACGCGGTACACGGCAACTGCTGCTACGGCCACGCGGTACACGGCAACTGCTGCTACGGCCACGCGGTACACGGCAACTGCTGCTACGGCCACGCGGTACACGGCAACTGCTGCTACGGCCACGCGGTACACGGCAACTGCTGCTACGGCCACGCGGTACACGGCAACTGCTGCTACGGCCACGCGGTACACGGCAACTGCTGCTACGGCCACGCGGTACACGGCAACTGCTGCTACGGCCACGCGGTACACGGCAACTGCTGCTACGGCCACGCGGTACACGGCAACTGCTGCTACGGCCACGCGGTACACGGCAACTGCTGCTACGGCCACGCGGTACACGGCAACTGCTGCTACGGCCACGCGGTACACGGCAACTGCTGCTACGGCCACGCGGTACACGGCAACTGCTGCTACGGCCACGCGGTACACGGCAACTGCTGCTACGGCCACGCGGTACACGGCAACTGCTGCTACGGCCACGCGGTACACGGCAACTGCTGCTACGGCCACGCGGTACACGGCAACTGCTGCTACNGTTGCAGTGGTTGTGATGATGCAGTGGTTGTGATGATGCAGTGGTTGTGATGATGCAGTGGTTGTGATGCAGTGGTTGTGATGCAGTGATTGTGATGCAGTGGTTGTGATGCAGTGGTTGTAATGTTGCAGGGGCAAGTTCGCAGCAGTACGGCGGGCCCGCCACCGCGCCACAGGACGCGTGTTCGCCGCCAAGTTTGTACGGCGGCGGCGCAGGGCGAAGACTTCAGAGGCGGAGGCTGAGGCGCGTCACGAGGTCGCCGTGCTGGTGCTGGGGCGAGCACACAAGCACATCGTACACATGCACAGCGTCTACCTCACTAGACAAGAGTACATCATCCTACTAGAGTTGTGAGTATTGACTCGTAATTTATTAATTATTAGTCATGTTTCAAGTTGATAACTCGTAACACAGATGCTACGATTAATAAGTATAGCGTTTTTCAACAGACTCACTTACTAGAGGGAGAAATCTATCATTAAAAGATCACAGTATTTTTTCATTAGTTTTTAATTTATATATACATTCAATATGTTCTTCATTCGTTTTCGTCACTTGATTCACTCGGTTTCTTGAAAGTTAATTAGTCAGAAATTATTTATTTAAAGAAGTTAATTAGGCTTTAATCAGGCTTTGTTTATTGTTTTATATAGCGACCGTAACTAGAGGCTGGCACTTCGTTGGTAGGAGGAAAGAACCTCAGGCTTTGTTAGCGACCGTCACTAGAGGCTGGCACTTCGTTGGTAGGAGGAAAGAACCTCAGGCTTTGTTAGCGACCGTCACTAGAGGCTGGCACTTCGTTGGTAGGAGGAAAGAACCTCAGGCTTTGTTAGCGACCGTCACTGGAGCGCGCGCGCTAGGACGGGCATTTGGCGGGGCGTGACTTGCAATGTTGCCCTCAGCAAACAAAGCTGCGCGCTTCATACGTCATGTTTTATGTTTTATATGCCATGTGTCATATGTCGAGGTTCATATCGCACTTCACCTTATGTTTCACGAGTCATACGCCACGATACTCGCGCTACACTCTGCGCAGTCGTTAAGTTAGATAAGTTCTTATTTCTCTTCCTATATAGGGTATAACAAGTGGAGCTATTATTATATTTTTTATTTTTATATATGTATCATAATATATATATTATAAATAATATATGATATTTACATAAGTATTACATAGATAGTGTTGATGGCTGGCAAGGCATGACGTAAGGTGAACACGTGCGTGTTGTTGCAGTGGCGCGGGCGGCGACCTGCAGAAGTTGCTGGACGACCAGGTCGCCTTCAGCGAGGACGACACGCGCGCTCTGCTGCTGCAGGTGCTCTCAGGGCTGCGCTTCCTGCACGCCAATAACATCGCCCACCTCGACATTAAGGTGAGCTTCAGCAGGCTACAGTTCATCCATGGACTGTGCTTCAGTTCATGCCATGGACTGTGCTTCAGTTCATGCCATGGACTGTGCTTCAGTTCATTTAATTTCCAGTTCCTACAAGCGCAGTCTGGCACTGTACATTACATGGCATAGAAGCCGCAATAAGTAAACCTCGATATTAAGATTAAAGTTATAACAGATCCACGTGATAAATATATCAATTAATGGAACTGAACTTCGCTACCATTTGAAATGTTCAACTTCTTATAAACCTTAAGCATTTTTATGTTATGTTATTGATTAATGCTGTGTTTGGAGCGATAAGTTCTCATGATGACATCGGTCGACAGCCGCAGAACCTGATCCTGATGGGCAGCGCCCCTACCGACGGCGTCAAGATCGTCGACTTCGGCCTGAGCCGCGTCATCTCCCAGGACACCGAGCTCACGCAGATCATGGGCACGCCGGACTACGTGGGTACGTGGCTGCGTGGGTACGTGGCTGCGTGGGTACGTGGGTACGTGGCTGCGTGGGTACGTGGCTGCGTGGGTACGTGGCTGCGTGGGTACGTGGCTGCGTGGGTACGTGGCTGCCTGGGTACGTGGCTGCCTGGGTACGTGGCTGCGTGGGTACGTGGCTGCGTGGGTACGTGTCGTGGGTAAGTGGCTGCGTGGGTACGTGGCTACGTGGGTAAGTGGCTGCGTGGGTACGTGGCTACGTGGGTACGTGGCTACGTGGGTACGTGGCTGCGTGGGTAAGTTTTTTTTTACTTAAATTGAATCGTAATTCAGCTTTGGTCAGCTTTCTATTTACCAAATTATTCGAAAACTCTTTAGCTGGAGCGTGACTGGAGCATGGAGCATTTTCTACTTGAGTAAATTCATTTTAATGTACTTAATTCATTTTAAAATTCCCTCGTTTTAGTGTTATTCATGCTGACAATGTGCCCCTTCATTTCAGCTCCGGAAGTGATCAACTTTGAGCCTGTGGGCCTGGCAACGGACATGTGGTGAGTCAGCCGTCCTGCGGGGCATCCTACGGGCCGTTCTTTTGACTGTCCTGCGGGGCATCCTACGGGTCGTTCTTTTGACTGTCCTGCGGGGCGTCCTACGGGTCGTTCTTTTGACTGTCCTGCGGCGGGGGACCGTCGGACCGTTAAAGGCCGTCTTTCAGGCCTCATATAAAGGCCGTCTTTCAGGCCTCATATAAAGGCCGTCTTTCAGGCCTCATATAAAGGCCGTCTTTTGTGCCTCATATAAAGGCCGTCTTTCAGGCCTTATATAAAGGCCGTCTTTTGGGCCTCATTATATAAAGGCCGTCTTTCAGGCCTTTTATAAAGGCCGTCTTTTGTGCCTCATGTATGAGCCGTCTTTCAGGCTTCATGTAAGGTCCGTCCCTGTGTACACATAATTTGAGTGGCCCACAGTTGCTTGTCCCACGGTGACCACAGGTCCGTGGGCCCTAATACCTAACTCATGTGGCGCCCACAGGTCCGTGGGCCCTAATACCTAACTCATGTAGCGCCCACAGGTTCGTGGGCCCTAATACCTAACTTCTGTGGCGCCCACAGGTCCGTGGGCGTGCTGACGTACGTCTTCCTGACGGGCTGCACGCCCTTCGGGGGCGACACCGACCAGGAAACGTTCGTGAACATCACGCAGGCGGAGTACGACTTCCCCGACGATCTCTTCGCCGACGTTTCTGATAACGCCAAGGACTTCATAAGCGGCCTGCTTCTAAAGAAAACATCGTGAGTTATTTTATTTTCTTAATCGATGCGTTGTCATCCTCTTCCCAAGTCCTTATGTGCCATAAAAGTTAAGTAAAACTCTCCTATATACGCTAAAGATAAGCCAATGCGTTTGGAAACTTATGATAAAAAAGTATGTAAGCATATAATATTCCTAGTTTAGCAATGCAATTCTTGTTCAGTGTTATACTTGCGGGTCAGTCGTAAAAGAAGATTCTCTATTATAATTGATTTTTCTTTTATCTTTGGTTCAACAGACCAACCCTTAATTTATAACAATGGTTGAGCATCATTTAGGACGAAGAAGAATCATACTTTAACATCATGATTAATTTTTTTTTTCGCTTCAGTGTCTGCACGTGTAGCATCTCATCAATGTCCTCCTAACTCTCAACCCCTCACGAGCAGCCAGCGCCTGCAGATCGATGATTGCCTGCGTCACCCGTGGCTCTGCTCGGCGGTGCTTCCGTCGATCTACGCGAGCGCCGCCCCTAGCCTCTACACGCTCTCCGAGACCGACTCCAGCGCCGCCCCTAGCCTCTACACGCTCTCCGAGACCGACTCCAGCGCCGCTCCTGGCCTCTACACGCTCTCCGAGACCGACTCCAGTGACTGCCCCGACTCCGCGTATTCAAGCTGCGACAACAGTAGCCCCACTTTCCTTGAAAAAAATACGTCATCTTCCTTCACTTCTAATGTTTCGGTCAATTTATGCGAGTGCCCCATTGCTGAAGAGCAGCAGCAACAGGCGCAGCAGCAGGGGCAGGTGATCGCTGCAGCAGCTGCAATGCTCACGTCAGCACGACGTCTGCGCAGGAACCGTAGCAATTATATGAGTGTTGACATGGAGGACACACTAAAGGCCGTTCGTAAGCAGCGGTCCACAAGACGGGCGTCACTCGTGATCGACAATCCCAGGCATGCGGAGGACGAGTGGAGGAAACACTCGCCTCGCTCGTACAATCATCAATCATTGCTCAATCTTAATCATGAGGTTCTTGACAATAGAATGGCAAACGACGACGACTTTCACAATGCGACTAACCGACTGCGACATTCTGAGTCGTTCGACTGTAGCAGCAGTAGAGGTATTTACCCGACGTGGAACGGCTACAGTGAACGCGCGCCCTTAAACCAATCCATGAATGACATCGAAGCGAAGCTTAGTAAACCTTGGCTGAAACTTTGCAATGGTAGTGTGCTACGTGCTGTTGATCAACTTACAACTAGCAACTCGCCTAAAAAGAAGAAATTAGCCCTCGCTAAGTCTGATCTAAGTCATCCACCTGGTGATTTGAGTGTCGGAGCTGGCAATTATGCTACCTTGGACTCGATGTCTTGCCAGTCTAGTCGTAAGTTACAGAAATGTGATTTCCGGGCCTCGATTGCTGAGCTGAGAGACCCACACAGTGACGTGAGGTCTTCCAAAGCTGACTTCACAATAATGAGGCCTGAGCTTAGAGCTTACAGCACCCAGAGATGTGAACGTGACTCTAGAAATTCCTTCTATGATTTTAAAACTTCGAATTACGATCTACGTTCCACAAAATCTGATATTTATGCTCCCAAGTCTGACTTACGTTCAAGTAAATCATCTAAAGACCTGAGACGATCTAAGAAGGATTTGCAAGGTTCGAGTCTTAATTTGTCTGAACGTTCCTGGGGCCCTTGTTCTGACTTGACTATGAGCAGACTAGACATGTCGCTCTCCCGTCTGGATCTTGCGCACGAGCAGCTGGACCAAGAAGAAGCTTTAGAACAAAAAGATTCATTTAGAGGAGACCTGACTTTACCACGACGTAGGCTTAACAGAGCATCTCTTGCTCCCTTGCTCAGGGGCAACGCGCTCCATATGAGCTTCAGGGTATCAAAAAACAGAGACTGGTGTTGAACTAATTTGGCTTCAAGCGTGTTCGAGTAACGACGGTCGATTATATTCACCATTTCGACTGCTTCAAGAGGCTTACCTTTCTATTGGTGTTCAATATTTCGGACTGCAACAGTCTAGTCATTAAGAACAAGTAATTGTGAGGAATCCTATGTGGGAATAACAATGTATTAGTCAGTAACGTGTTCTATCTTCTTGCCCTCTGCCGTATCGGTATTGGGGCCTCAGACCCTCTGCCGTATCGGTGTCGCGGCCTCTGATTAGAAGATCAAAATGCGCAGTTTCTCGGACTCGTTTCTCAATCTTTCCATTCCAGAAATGCTCAATGACCGACGACATCCTGAGATCGAGGTTTTCTCGTTGCTAAACACGTTGGTTTGTTATTTGATAGTCTGTGGCAGGAGCACAACATCCCATGCATTCTCTAATCTGTTCCTTGTGTCGTGAGTCGCTTCTGACGTTTTTGTGACACGATTTGGTTTCATTTCTGTTCCTTTGAAATGGTCAGTTTCTCTTGCTTAATCAAAACCGTATCAAAAGTCTTATATTGTTAATTCCACTTCGAAAAATGTGATTGTAACTGAAATAAAATTATATGTGTTCCTCACTTGCATGCAACATCGCATAAACGTGCATTCAGGAGGCATTAGTTTCTCCATATTGCTGCGTCGTGCCCCGACAACCCAGTCGGGGCTAGCGCAGCCTCGGGATGAGGGTCGCTACTTCTGTATTCCTCACGTTTTAGTCCTGCGGTCCGCATTTGCTCATCTTATTTATCGATACATTAGCAACATGTCCACTTACACACGCGAAACGTTTAGCCGATGGGCGAGAATGTCGTCAGGAATCGGCGTGACGTGTACCGGTGCATCGTCTGAAATATGGGGACGTATTCTCAATAAATTTTGCGTTGAACATTGCAGTTGAACTCGTGTTATTTGAGTTGTGGCGTTGACATATTTTCTCTTTGTTATGTCATTGGGTAAAATGTTTCTATTTGACAAGTTTTAGCCTCCAATAGACAACAGAATTCTTAAATAAGGTCCCTTGTTTAAAGTTTCGTATGTTGTAGATACGATCTGTGCAGATGCTAAGGGTTCTGTTTCTTGGCATAACGAATGTATCTTTGGACAACTGTCACGGCCATAACATTTGCCACCGACCTGTACCTTGTACACGTCCATGCCACCCTCAACATGTGCTCACCCATCTGAACATGTTTGCTCACAGATATCATCACTTTTCTTACATACAGTTAACGATGACAGTCTCATCGCTTCTTGCATCGCTCTGGACACCTCGATAATGATCGCACCTGTTTATTACTGAAACAAATGTTAGCTCCGTGGTGCTAAAGACTTTTTAAGCATATAATGTGTTAGTGTGTTGGGAAAATCCTATTTATGAATTTTCGTATTTTATGTACATACGTCAAATATATCTTGTTACTGAAAGTTTAAAATCTCAATAATATCCTGGCATCCATTATCCAAGTTGCGTTTAGTTGAAACACTATTACACGACCCTTGTTCAATTGTAGAATTGGACAAGGTAGAGTTATACTGATATTCACTCCACCTTTCTTATATAGCAAACCATCGATTCTCACAAACCTTGATGGCGTGCATAATACGCCAAGCGCTTACAAAATATTTCTCGGTCCATAACAATTATCAGGAGTCTTGTGACATTAACCACTCGCTTTCGTGAGCGGCCTGAGTCAAGCGCTGTTGCGTTGGAAACGAAATTTGAGCGGAACTTGACTCAATTAGACTTCAGTTTCAACTTTTATTTTATTCTTGCATTGCACAATGGCTAGACAAATAATAGAAAGGCTTCTAGTTGGCTGTGAAAAAGCGCAGGTAAAAAAAAGCGCGAAATTACATCTGAGAAGTTTGTAAGCTGGTTTTGATGACCGAAGATCACTCAATAGTCATCGGTGAGCCATGGGGTTTAATTTGCTTAATTTATATAATTTGCATTAGTTGTGCAGCAAAGTGAAGCAATGTAGAGCGTCTATTTGTTTGCAAAACGAGTCAGTAACTTGTGACTGGCAAGACTGCAAGCAACCTGCAATTTGTGCAACCAGTCTTGAGAAGGCCGATAAAGGCACCTTTACTGGGGCAGGGTGGCCCAGTGGTTAAAGTTCAGAGTATCAGAATCGGCAAGGAGGCCGGGCGGTTAAACACAGCAGAATTGAATCAGTGAGTTGTGAGTTCGAGACCGCAACAAGTTGTGGATGTTCTGCGATGTTAAGAATCGGCGACAGGCCTATGGCCTAATAAACGCCGAAACCGCTATTATTATTATAATATTATTATTATTACAGCGGAGAGGCAAAGGCAGATGAAAGGACCTTCACGGTAGAGGCGCAGGCCGATGTAGGAAATTTTGTGTCAAAGAGGCGCAGGCCGACAGAGTGCCTTCACGAGCGAAAGGTGCTGGCCGACGAAGGGGCTTTCGCGGCCTTAGCGTGGTGGAGATCAAGGTCTTATTTTTCTTCAACTGAATGATAAGCTAAATAAGTACACATTTTGCCAGAATCTAACTTCACTGAATCATTCGCAAGAGAAGGAAGGAATAAGAAAACACGGGTTAAATATATTACTAAAAACATTTTAACAATGATTCCTTAGAACGAACTTCAGAGCCAAGACGAACCGCAGCAGAGAGAAACCTCACAATAATAAGTATTTTTGCTATTTACTCTGCGGCTTCCTTTTCAACTCGTCAAATGTACACGGGAAATTGCAATACACGAATACTTACAGAGCTAGAGCTTCCTCATGTCCTCAAAAGCGCATTTGTTGATTTGAGGAATTTTGATTCTCAGTTCACCCACTCTCAATCCACCAATCGATATGGTCACTTATCCCACTCTACCCTCAGCGATCCCATTCTACGCTATTTCACTGCTCATTGTCCCACTCGACGCTGTTCTCCCACTCTACGATCAGTTGGCCCACTCTATGCTCAGTTATCCCACTCTATGCTCAGTTGATCCCCTCTACGCTCAGTTGTCCCACTCCATGTCTTCTTGCGGTTCACCAGCTTGTAGGCGACAAATCCATGCAGAATCACAGCGCGATTACCCCAATAAAGTTCTATTTAATACGCACGTAATAAAATAAAAGAATTTATATGACTACAGAGAAAAGCTCACTCTTTGCCCGGGTGTGGCTCAACAGTCTTAACAAATTTTTCAAATTCCTCTTGGGCAAGCAAATCTTCTTGGTCCTTGACTTCTTCCACTGCCAACACCTGTAAAACACAACCAGAAAAAAAAACCGCGTCACCGAGCTGCAGTTATTTTGGTAAAGAAAAAACTTTGGCACCTTAAGGCTGGAGGATATCACAGATTCTATCCCATTTTGAGCAAATTTGGACGAAATTCAGCGCAATTTTACTTCTTATGCAGGAAATGTTCTTACAACAAACCTCGGGTATGTAAAACTGCATCATATTCTGAACTCCATTCTTGAGCGTGACGACAGAAGAAGGACAATTGGTGCATGAGCCCATCATCTGGAAAATCAACAATGAAACCAAATAAAAATAATTGATTTTAATTACTCAAAACTACTAATAGACCAAAAAATCGTAATGCCTACAAAGTTCATCTTCATGCAGCAGCACACAAAGGTACAAATTATTTGCTCGGCAAGATCGTGTCATTAGGTTCAGCATCAACCCGCATGCTGTGATGTCAGCCTCACCTTGGGAGCTTATCAAAATCAAATAGACACAATAAAACAGCAATAGACACGCGACACGCACCCTCAGGTAAACTATGCCGTCTCTGAAGTCTAACATAATCATAATAGACACAATAAAACAGCAATAGACACGCGACACGCACCCTCAGGTAAACTATGCCGTCTCTGAAGCCTAACATAATCACAATAGACACAATAAAACAGCAATAGACACGCGACACGCACCCTCAGGTAAACTATGCCGTCCCTGAAGCCCCTGTAGAGGATGTCGCCGCCGTCCTCCTGCACCGTGGGGCGGATGCGGGTGTCCAGCAGCTCCTGTATCATGGCTACGGTCTCTTCGTCAGCGTCGCTGCTGCCGCCTCAACATACATAATAATTACATTTGACATTGAATTAATATTACTGAGAGAATGAGAGTCCATACCATGCAACTGATGAATTGATACCATAAATTTATACTTCTTTTCACAGGGAATAACTCATAAAAAGCGAGGGCAATTCATGGTAGCCCTCATAAAAAGCGAGGGCAATTAATGGTAGTCCTCATAAAAAGCGAGGGCAATTCATGATTAAGGGGAATTCATCCTCATAAAAAGAGAGTTATTCATGGTAGCTATCATAAAAGGAAAGAGGAGCCTCATTAATTGAGAGTCGGAGTCCAAATCACATATCAGAATCCTATGATATGTATACTAAAACAGGAGCTTCAAATCTGAACTAATTTAAAAATTAGGCAATGATATTATGTCTAAGAATAGATAATATTTATAAGGAAGGAAAAGTATATAAATAATTTCTAAGAATCCAAATATAAGACATACTACTATTTAAAATCTAGTTCAAATAAAAGTAATGTTTCCATTATGTTCTGTTCAATGAAGCCTGCCACTTAAGCACGCACAAGCTACTAACTGTGTTCTGCCCCTCCAGTAGAGCCCTCGTGCACTACAGGCAGACCAGAAGCAAAAAAGTCCATTATTACAGCGAACGCCTCTGCCTTGATGGTGCGCCAGTCTGCATCTTCATCATCTGCCTGCATCACCAACAATGAGTCATTGATTTAGGGGTTGTTGAGTTGTCAGGATAAAGTATACAACCGCAAAACTATGTGACAATTACAAAACTCTGCAACAAAACCTTGGTGTATTCAACCAATACATTCATGAATGATGAGCAAAGTTGGAATAGATCTTAGAAATCCTACTGGAACACTAACTAGGTACCGTACTTACGAATATGGTGGAAAACATAGCTATCAATGAGAGTAAAAAGAAACTTGGTGGAGAATAAGAAGAGATCCAAGGCGACCAACCTTGGTCAATGTGATAAAATCCTGTGCAAAGAATACACCTCGCACTCCTGGTATCCTGAAGAGCAGCTTGGCAAGGGGAGACTGTTTTGCACTCTCGGAGTTGGCGAAGTCTGCAGTCCCGCTCTCCAAAACCTGGACAGTGGTAGATTTTTCATCATTATTTCATGAAAGAAATGAAGCATCTCCTACCTTTGAAAATGTACTAGTGGCTTCAGGCATGTTGTTTGGCTTACCAGCCAAAGCATTGAGGAAACTACCTATTCAAAAGATGTCCCACTTTCATAACTAACTCAATGCTATATTATTATTACTAGATGATAATGTTCAAGCTCACCTGCACTCCTGGGATGAACTTGAGGGAGTTGGGGTTGGGTGTGTCGTGCACTTGGATGAACATGCTACGCACAGATTGATGGACCAGACTGCGAGGTTGCACCAGCCTGCAGCCATCATTTGTGTAGGTTGGTGGCACCATTGTGGCAAGTTGGCGTCCTCTTTGGCATGCCAGAGGTGTGCTCATGCAGCTCCTGAGTTGGAAAACACAATACAATTATCTTCAATGAAGATTGGCAGCACCATTGGGCAAAGATGGCATCCTCTTTGGTATGCTTGAGGCATGCTTACACAGAACATGATAAATCTTGATATTTTCTATAAATTATACACTTATATATATGCTGATAACACATTATAATTGTATCATAAACCTGAATTTAGTGCATAACATTATTTATAAGAGAATAGAGAAGATAATATTGCCAAATCGTATTATTCTAACAGATATATCAGCATCTAACCTTTGCCAAGGGAAGCCTTGCAACTCAGTTGGAACTTACCTCATGCTCATAGAATACATTCTAGTTATCTTTCTATAAGCCATTATTTTTAAATTCCAAGTAATTTCTGCACACAAAAAAGTAATAGTTATTAAGGAAAATTATTGATTGTGCAAGATTGTGTGCAATAATTTATCATAGCTCTGAATGATATGATCTGACAAAAGAACAAATTCAATCAGAAGAGCAACTCCTCAGTTATGATGGGGTTCAATTACCTTGACATTGCTACCAGAATTGCCACATGCCTTGTGACCAATGACTTAGGTCTAAAGTCAATTAGGTACCTAGATCTATGTAGCAAGTTACATTATTCTCTCAGTGTAATGATGCTTATGCATGGCAGCATGGGGCTAGTATTAGCCAAGAGTATTCAGCTATTCGCACACCATATATTGTGTGATGATATATTCTTCAGATGCAAGTAGCTGATGCACTTGTGTCTGAAGCGGTTCAGGTTGCAAATTTGCTGTATTGGCAGTATGGCTGCAGCCGCCATAGTGTGCAGTCTGTGCACATTTGTGCCACTCTGTATCCTGCTTGGGGCTGCATGGCAAATGTTTCAAATGATATAAACTGCATTGTCCCAAGGACAACGTTTCTAAGAACATCAAGAGGTTTTCATATATCAAACTGTTCTTATAGATATTCCAAAGATATGATCTGCTGTAGAAGGTGCGTCACAATGAATATTACCTACAAAAAAAAAAAATAATGTAGAAAGTAGTATTTTGAAACTTAAATGCAACCTTATAAGGTCTCTTGCCCACACTCTATGGCCTATGCTGATCTACAAAACTTTTCATCTCTTCAGCAAGAGTGGCAACCAAGCCACCAACTGCTTCCTCAAACTCATCATTATTTTGCATTCCATATTCCATCACTCACAAGATGATGGCTTCTAACAATGCACTGGCACCTGCAGTTTGTTTACCAAATACTCTCCTAGTCTCCTTGTGTATGAATAGCCACATATTATAGCCAACTGAGAGTGAAAAAATTAGCATCTAATACTAGCCCCACGTATAAACACTATAAGTGTGGGTATTAGTGTGGGCTGTGGTACCTAATAGCCTGATAGGATACTAGGGCCATGATAATGGTGCTGGCATAATTGAGGTTGCATTGCACAAGACAAAGTTTGAAGATAATACCTACTGACTTGAGCAGATGATGAGCACTCTGATTTTAAGCTATACCTACCTTGCTTGCACATGTAAAGTGATATAAAATAAATTTTGTTATTATTGTAATAAATAGATTTGTGATGGTGGTCTGTGACTCAGCTGTCTCAGCATCAGGTAGACTAAGACAGTATTTAGTGGTAGCTGCTGGGCTGTGCTACAGGCATCACTTACATTAATGACATCATCACTGACATGACATGCATCACTTCCCAGAATGAACTGCCAGAACTGGGATGATGTGTCAGTTAGTCAGGTAAAATGTTCCTTTTAGAAATAACTTTAGCAAATTTTGTAGACTAAGTATCAGGTAAACTAAGACAGTTTTCAGTGGTGGCTGCTGGGCTGTAACCTGCTGTGTTACAGGCACAGCTACTAAGTACTAACATCACTGGCATGCATCAACATTTCCCAGAATGAACTGTCGGAACTGGGATGATGCATCAGATAGTCAGGAAAAATGTTCCTTATATAAATAACTTTAGCAAATTTTGTATCATGGCAGTTAGCTGATTAAGTATAGACTATGACATAAATCAGTAATTAAATTGGTAATATTTGCAACTACATTATTGATGAACTAATCCATAGAAATTTTGGTATTTCTTGGGTATTTGTTTGGGACATAGCAGTCCCAGGCCACAATGGATCGCCACCTCTAGTAATCCTTCACTTACGCTCACTTAAACTCACTTACGCTTCTTTACTTCCGATCGAGCTAATCGTTTTGTTACTCGTTGCCTTTTAAATTGAAAATTATTTTGCCAAAGCAACTAGAAATCTAAATCCAGTAAAAAAACTGGGCCGCCTAAACTGGGCCGTTTTCACCCGTGATTCATCCCAGGGGGCTTTCTCATACACCATCATACAGCTTGCTTAAAGGTTGTGTGAATTCGCTCATAATCCATTTGAATCCGTTATTGAAGCGTTCTTTACTCATCAGCTCATTACGATATTGCGTGGACAGACTGTCGGCGACATAATTTTCTGGAATTGAGAGTAGGGACTGCGTGTCAAATTATTATAGGTGAGCTGTGAACTATCCAGTCACTATTTGAAACAATTTTTACAATAGCCATAATTTATATTACTGTTTTCAGTTCTGGTTATGCCTGACTATGCTGGCTTACGTTCAATGAGTTATTTCTGGTTGTTGTTGTTGTTTCTTGTGCCAAACGTCACGCTCGCATGGGTGGAGGCTCTGATGGTGGTCAGAGGGGTGGCACCGGAAGAGGAGGGAGATGGGCAAAAGCAGGGAGGGTGGCCAAGAACGTCGACGCCTCCACGGGGTTGTCCCACAATGATGAGACACTGAGGGACGTGGGGAAGGCGGGGCAGGCAAAGAGGTGCTGGACGGATTGGAGGGGATCCCCACACTCCGGGCAAGCGGCGCTAAGGGAGCGACCGACCCTGTGGGTGTAGGACGCAAGGGAGCTGCAGTATCCAGAGCGTAGCTGGGATGGCGCTGAGCGGTAAGGACGAGGGAGCGAGGCCTCTTCTACTGCAATCGGTGGTGGCGGGGTTGAGAGGACCGCGTTGTTACCTGCCGTCGCCGCAACACGGGTGGCTATCTCCCTACGGAGGGAGTGTTTTGCCTCTCCATAGGCACCGTCAGGCATCCTGCCGCCGGCCAGGAAAGGCGCCACAAGGTGGCCAAATCTTGTCTTGATTGAGGCTTTCATGGGGCGGTCTCCGGGGGGAGCAGAGACGATGTTGAAAGAAGCATGAGCAGGCTGGAGGGCGCTGGCGAGAAATTGCGCACAGGCCAGGTCCAAGTGGGCGGACAGGGGTAGGACGCCGGTCTCATGGTGGAGATGGGCGATTGGGGCCATCTTGAGGCAGCCAGTGGCTAGTCTCAAGGCTGAGTTTTGAATGATCTGGAGACTTGCGATTGCAGTTTGTGAGGCAACTGGGTACCAAATGGGGGCAGCATAATTTAAGATTGGGCGAATAATTGTTCGATATGTGGCAATGATGTCTTCCTTGGAGAAGCCCCAGTTGGTGCCGGCCAGGGTTTTTAAGATGCGTAAAGAGCCTGTGGCTTTGGTGGCTATGGCTCTGACATGAGGAGAGAACGTAAAATGGGTGTCCCAAGTGACCCCTAAGATTTTGGGGGTTTTGTCCAAGGGGATGATGCCATTGCAGATTGTTGCAGAGGGGTGGAGACGGGATTGGTGAGTGTCGGGGGTGAAAAGCGTGACTGAGGATTTCCCAGGAGCCACGGCCAGTTTCTTGGCGGTCGACCAGTCTGAGATGCCCCGGAGGAGCTCAGAGAGATCAGCCTCCGCAGCGTCGAGCCTCGGGGACGACACAAAAATAGTAAGGTCATCTGCATATGAGGCAATGTTAGAGGTCGGAACAGGTATGTTCGAGATAAAGTAGTTAAATAGGGCTGGTGAGATGACCGACCCTTGGGGTACTCCAGAATGGATTGTTCTGAAGGGGGACCTTGTTCTCAGGTAGAGGCAGGAAGCCATCCTGCCTCTAAGGTAACAAGCCAGCGGACCAGATTATGATGTAGGTCTGAGGCCGCGATCATGCTGAAGAGGAGAGGGTGGTCGACACTATCAAAAGCTTTCGATAGGTTGACCGCAGCTGCCACTGTACGTGCTGGGGGACGGCATGAGTTGAAACCCGTCGCAATCTGGTGCGCGAGCGGGAGGAGGGCGGTGACTGTCGAGTGCCCTGGTTTAAAGCCATGTTGCGAGGAAACCGTGACGAGCGAATCAGAGATGTATGGGAGTAGAAGGCGTTCCAGGATCTTGACCGCTGGACAAAGGAGGGAGATGGGGCGGTATGAGGCGCCCAGGTTACCAGGTTTACCTGGTTTTAGTAACGAGATGATTATTGAGTTTTTCCATATAGATGAAATGGAGGCCATGGCGACAGATATTAAAGATGTGGGTGAGGAACTGGAGGCCACGTGAGCCAAGATGTTTGAGGTGGAGAACCGTAAGGCCATCTGGGCCCCGAGCTGAAGAATTGTTAGCGGCTCTGATGGCGAGTTTCACCATGTTAGGGGTGAAAGGGGCAAAGTCCCTCTCCAGGGGATGCTCAGCCCAAATTCAACGCATAAGGCGGCGGGTCGATGGGTTTTGGGAGTGCGGAGCAATGGAGGTGAATAGTTTGCAAAAGGCGGTGGAGATCTTGCGCTGCGACGAGAGGGGGGTCTGGCCAAATTGGATTGGCTGGTTGGGTGGAGGGTGGCAAAGTTTCCCGGATAGTGAACGGAGGAGGTTCCAGCGTTTTGACTGGTGAGTTCGCCTGTTGCACGAGGCAAGATGTGTCCGCCAGGTATTCCTGGCATAGGCTTGTATTGAAGTGGAGATTTCTAGGTTGGAGATCGGGGAGCCGGGGATCGTTAGGGTTGTGCGCCCTGATGTCATCCCGTTGCTCCATGAGCAACCGGGTGCCAGGGCTGACTGTAGGGGAAAACTCCTTTCAGAATCCCGCAGGGATGTGCTGCTTGGCAGCAGTTGTCAGGACGCCCCTGAGGGTCGACTCACCTCCGCACGAGGTGTGGGGAGGGACTGCCTCGAGTGCTGCTTCAACTGCTGCCGTGTAGGCATGCCAGTCCGCTTTCTTAAAGTTAGTATAAGAGCGGGCAGACCAGAGAGCCGGGGACTCTACGGCGGGAGGTAGATGGAGCAGGATGGGCAAATGGTCGGAATTTAGGGCAACTTGAGGAGCCCATGAGGTGCTGAGTAGCAGCTGCCCGGTGATGATGGCGAGGTCCGGTGAGGAGGGAGGGCCGTGGGAGGGGAGGCAGGTCGGCGAATCCTCGTTGAGGAAAGCTAAGTCCCTCTCGTTGCTGCTATTTCTGGTCACCATATATAAGTATGTCACCAGTTATTTCTGGTGACATACTTCGCTTATGGTCATTACGGGTGAAGTCTTTGCAATGCGCCCGCGCTATGGGTGCGGGTGGAAAGGCTAAAAATATGGGTGAAATTGTCTCACATGCACGGGTGAAATTGCCTCACGAGCACGGGTGAAATTGTCCCACATGCACGGGTGAAATTGTCCCATGTGCAAGAGTGAAATTGTCCCATGTGCATGGGTGAAATTGTCCCACATGCACGGGTGATTTTTGCTTGCCCACGGGTGGTTTTTGCATACTTGTTTGACTGATGCATACTGATGACTGATGCTTTTTTATTAAATTGAAACTCGTATGAATATCGAAGCTGCAATTGCGGTGTTGATATTAATTTTAAATAGATATATTTTCTCTTGTATACTCCATATACTCAAAAATATCTTAGACATCTTAGCAATGATGCGTAATATTTCTGTGAGAATTATTTTAAAGTGAAATTTCATAATTAATATCTCAAATAAAGTCTTTCCACTGAATATGCTTGAATCTAATCGTATAAGATGCTGCTGGGTAGATGGTAATTTATTGACCAAAACCTGACAAGAAATGGAATACGGTGCAGTAAATGACTTTATTTAAGCCACAATAACTTTAAAATTCACTATACCATCAAAGTCCTGAGATCATCAAAGAGACTAATTACACATTACACTGAATGATCTTTCATCATTGATCTTTCAACATTCATCATGACATGTGGAACAGCCTCCCTGATAGCATCGTTGATTCTCCAAGTATGAACATCTTCAAAAACAGAGAAGAAACTATGCAGGAGCATATGTTCAGTCTTAAAATGCCTAGCAAATTACGGACCAGGCAATAAGTCCAGACGAAGCAATGCAGGAGCATATATGTTCAGTCTTAAAATGCCTAGCAAATTACGAACCAGGAAATAAGTCCAGCAGCTATCTCAATCAATTGTCAGTTATGGAAAGATCCGGTTCCAAAGACCGGATCCCTTGTGAATCAAGTCACGAAAAATTTAAGAATCGGCAACAGGCCATGGGCCTATTTCTTCAATACCGACACTTCTATTCTATTACATTGAATGAACTTTCATCGTTATACTGTATGGGCCTTTCTTTACTTGAGTTTTGAGGTCCCTACAGTACCCAGTGATACTCTTCTTTAAAAATATCTTGAGGAGTATTTATATTCATTTAGCTTGATAAGTCATCAAAATGGCCATCACGCTCAAGGATGATCAGTCCCGGCAGGCCTTAATTGCCGCTCCTTTTGTCCGTCTTAATCAAGACAGCTTAGGCAGGATTATGGGCTTATAAATACATATTAGTGAGCAATAAATGCGGACTAGGTTTCAATGCCTTGAGATTCGCATGCCTGTGCGTAAAGATAGTTTGATATAACTCATAAGCACGCCTAGGCACTTTTAGTCATGCTCTGCAGTCAAATGTCAACAAAGAAACTGAAGCTTTTTGTCATCCACAGACTCCCATGAATGGGTGTTAAAGAGAGGACTGATCCTTGGGGTGGTACAAGACTCCTGCGTTTGGTTTTTTTTCCGAGACGAGACAACAGGCTGTCCCGGTTTGCAACAAAAACCGGGACAATTTTCAGCCCTCCGTAGGAATTCCGGGACGATACCGAGACGAGACAAGACATCCCGGTTAAAATAGGTGCCTTAACATTTCCCGGAATTTATAGCCATTTTAACGAGACATAATGAGACGAATCAATTATTGATGTGGTGTAAACTTTGGCTTACCATCATACATTTACACAGAGCTGGGCAGCGCTACTTTGAAATGTAGCGGCCGCTACCGCTACATGCTCTAAATGTAGCGGGCACTACCGCTACCACTACAATTGCGTAAATGTAGTGCCGCCACCGCTACCGAGAATGTAGCGGCCACTACATGTAGTGCGCTACTGCCCATCTCTGGTAACAACCAACATGTTGACACTAGTAACAGGCTGAGGTTGACAACATTACACCAAATCTTTCATACAGTTTTATTCTGTAATTTATATTATGTATGTATATTAAGTAAAATCTAAAGGCTTTATCTATAAATGTAGCGGTAGCGCTGTAGGAGCAAAACCTCATAACGCTACTTAAATATGTAGTGGGCGCAACCACTACAATTGCTTAAATGTAGCGCCGCTACCACTACCACTACTGAAAATGTGGCGGTCGCAATATGTAGCACGCTACTGCCCACCTCTGCATTTATATAATAACTTGAGACATATAATTTTACCATTCTGATTGGAGCTTGGCAATTGAAATTATTTTTGCTACGAATACATGTTGTGGTTTAATATGGTACTTAATCTTGACAGGCAAATAAAAATGGAAAAACGCAATTTTTTCAAAAATTATACGGTATTCTATGATGGTTTGGAGGAGGCCATACTAGCTGTAGCTGGTGACATCAGCTGACTGGACAGACTTTGATTTGCCTCAAAGTCTGGGACAGAAGTCTTGTCTCGGTTCATACGTTTATTCCGGGACAAATTTTACCCTCTGTCCCATTATTTTTTTCCCAGAATTTTCTCGTCTCGTTTCATCTGTCCCGGTTCATTTCAAGAAAATTATTTCGAGACGCAGGAGTCTATGGGGTACTACGTTCGGTATGTTTTTTGTATGTGATGATTTGCCATTGTAGTGAACGAATGACTGTCTGCCTGTTAAAAAGTTGGCAAGCCAACGTTTGGTGTTGTTATGCAGTGTTGTTTTATAGATTTTGTCAGTAAGTGGGAAGCATGGGATGGCATCAAATGCTTTGCTAATGTTTGATTGTAATCAGAAGTGTGCGATGTGCAGGGTGCTTGGAGTTAATGCCATCTTGTATACGTTGTGTGAGGTTGGTGAGGAGTGTGGTGGTGGAGTGATGGGTTCTGTAACAGTGTTGTGTGGGTGAGAGGGGAATGTGAGGCATGGTTATGGAGAGTATGAGGCGCTCTACAACTTTGAATGGTGTGCAGAGGAGCATAATTGGCCTGTAGGCTGCCTCGGTGAGGGGTTTGTTTGGTTTCAGGAGAGTTATGATTTTGCCAGTTTTCCAGATCGATGGTATGATGCAGTTGGCAAATGAAAAGTTGGCAATATTTGTGAGAGTGATGATACCATGCAGGCCAAGGTGTTTCAGATGAATGTTTGAGATGTTGTCAGGCCCCATATCTGAAGAATTTTTTAGCTGTTTTATGACAAGTGAGGTGTCTGAAGCTGTGGCTAGGATGTAGTTATTCACTAGTGGAAATTTTTGTTTGCGCCTGTAAATTTGTCTGTCTGCCCTATGCTTGGGTAGATGACTGATGCTGTTGCCAGCGCTATGGAATGCTTATATCGGGTTCTTTAGTCTCTAACAACAATTTAGGCGAATGAAAGTTTTCTTCTGGATATGGATGTATTGTCATTTGTCAAAGTACGGGGCAGCGATTACAGATGTAGTTGTGAATGGAATGAAATGTAACCAGACATTGGGAGCATGAGTGAGGTATTTGAGCTGTAAAAGATAAAACATATAATCAATAAGGGTAAAATCAAATAAAAGAACCTCACTCACAGCAGTTAATCAAAACCAAAACCCTTAGCATTGACAAAACAATCAAGCAGCAAGCAGTAAGTTCAACTTAGTTTGAATAAATTGATAATATGAGCAGGCACGAGTAATGCAAGAGAGAATGCATGGGAGATTAATGTGAACAAAGTAAACGGGCACAATTGCAACTGTGGTAATAACAGCAACTTATTGGGTGAAACACATAAGTAAATTTAAACCAGTTTGGTATTCACATAATAAAATAGCAAGCATTGAAATTAGAAGATTGAAATAGTAAAGCAATTGAAGTAAAATCATATGAACAACTCACTATTGTGCAATTAACATTCTTTAGATTAAAAGCAAGCATTGCCAGAAAGTGGATAAATATATGTGCAAAGTATAAACACAAGCAAGAATGAAGTAAATCAATTATTAAGCTGAATGAACACTAACATACCTGGTTTTAAAAGCTTTATAAAATATGGATTCTAACAAGCACTCACCAAGGCAATTGCAGTAGTCAGAGCATTGGACATCAATCTGCCTGCTTCTATTAGAACTTTACAATGACACTGATCAAGCACATGCATGAATAATATAATTATTGGAATTTTTCCCCGTTCCTGAAAAAAATAAGGAGAAATTTTTGGTATTGAATTAGAACATATACATTGAGTGAATAAATGAATAACAGATTTGGTTTGCGATGAAAAATACTGAAATAACCACCCAGCTACAATGCTAGCATAATAATTTATCAATATGTTGGACTGTTGCTTGCGGGAGGGGATGGTATCCAAGGAGGTAATTGCCGAGTGAGATGGAGTGAGGCCACTGTTGGAGTTAGTGTCCAGCCCTGACAACTACGAGCCTCACGAGTTTGCCTCACTAACTCGTGAGGCTCGTAGTCGTCAGGGCTGGACAGCGTCAGCTCAACCTTCACGCACCCGCCGCCACCGCCATAAGCGCCCTCCATGGCGTCCCCCTCAGGGCTGTGGCCTCCATGTCCACCCTCACTTCATCAGGCTTAGCGTGACCTTGTGATAAGTTTAGGACATCGTAGTCCACGGTCACGCTGATGCGCTGCCTTTGTTGTCCTCCGTCTCCAAGTCGTCGTCGGATGTAACGTTGGACATGTTCCGTCTATTTGCCCTCCTTTGGGCCAGCTGATGCAAGATGCTGTTGCTTGTCACTCTGAGGGTGGTTTCCCATTACTGGACAATCCAGGATCTTTCTCAACCACTTGTCCACTCTCTTGAATGTTGCAAGGGTGAACTCCCCTCCTCTCAGCGTTTTTGGCAAGGCATTAAAGAGCCTCGGTCCTACCACAGACAGTGATCCCTCACGAAGAGTCTGTACTCTGGCCACGGCTTGGTTATTAAATGGGGGAATCCTGCACAGTCTCCCCCTTCTTTTGTTGTAATATGTCATTATTTTGGAGGTCTCACTCTCAAAGTTGGGAGCCAGTCCGTTTATCAGCTTCCTAGTGTACAGTATGATATACCTTTCCCTTCTTCTCTCCAGCAAGTACAGTTCCAGGTGTTACAGCCTTCCCCAGTAGTTCAGGTTCAGCTCCCTCATGCCACAGATCCTGTACGTGAAGGTCCACTGCACTGCCTCCAGTTTTTGCACCGCACCCGCCTTGAGTGGCGATCAAAGTTGGCAGCAATACTCAAGATTGGGGAGCACAAGGGCTCTGAATCATTGGTGCTGCTTCTCTCACAACATTGCAGTGACTGCAGCAGCATGGCAACCTGCGGGCAACCACAACGTAACTGTACCTGTATTGTACCTGTGATTAGACTGAAGAATAGGTATATTGTTATTGGTGATTGATGAAACTATGCTTGACATAGACTTGATATAGCTATAAGTGGTTATGAGAGTGTATATTTCTATATTTATTACGTTCAACTGTATGTTTCAAAGCCTATGGTATTATCATCAATCGCAGGAAAGGAATGTTTTTTCGATCTCAGCTACTTGATCTCAACAAAGTAGTTTTTTTGGTAACAATCTGATAACATAACTCCTCTCGATAGAGACTTTAATTAAATGGTTCGAAATGTCAGGCTGGTAATTAATTTCCTAATCTTCCGAGTGGCCTACAAAAGGACACGTGACTAGGTTCTCCTACTGAATCAATGACGAATTGACAAAGGGCAATTGAAAACACATGTATTGTCTCAACACTCGTTCTATTGTGAAATTTCTATCCTAAGACAGAGCACTTAATTACAGGGCTGTAAAGGTGCTAATGATGACGACGCAGATCAACTAATAATGAGACAATTCTCCAACTCATCTAGAACACCACCTAGCTTAAATTCTGAACAAGTACATCACCCGAGTTGTCGAGGAAAGCAATCCACAGGGCGTCTTACTGTGAAGCATCGTTTACAACTCACCCCAACCGTGAACTCCCTTCACCCTCACCACCGTAGTTAGCTCACATACATGCAATGCATAAAGAAATAAAGATAATTAAAATAGAGAAATTAAAGTTTAGTGTCACACTGTTCATGATTACTGGTGATTAAGAAACAAAAATTAGAATTACATTGCTTCACCAGCCATTGCTGCACTTGAATTTTATTCAGTATTAGATTAACTACTTGTGTGATAATCTCCGTTGCGCATCACTGATCGTGCAACCATTCGTGACGAATAAATTGTTGGAAACTAGTCTACAACAAGTTGGAAACTAGTCTACACTAGCAGAGAGATCAATGAACAATCAAAACCAAATACCATAAAATGGGGTGACTTGGACCGGATGGGTAACTTAGACCACTTTTTGTTTTTTTAACAAAAACTCCCACAACTCAAAAACTATTTGACATAGAAAAATTTTGTCAATGGGCATTAAAGGCCTAATACTGAGGCTACATAACTAACATATTTTATGTTTGACAGCCTATTTATGTTTTTTCTTTATGTTTCAGACTTTACAGAGTCTTATATATGGTAATTTTAACTTAATTTCCAAGCCAGTCAATATTACCCCATCAGGGCTGCCATTAGGTAGTCACATTTCCCTCATTATGGGGCAGCGCCCCCCATTTGCAAGCTATGACACTTTCCTCAAGTTTGTCATTTGCATATGTAACTAGGAGAGTTCTACTACAATGCACCAAAACCTGGAGTTATTTGGAGTTATTTAACCAAAAAATAAAATTGATTTTACCACCCGGTCTAAGTTATCCCAAGAGCTGGGGTAACAAAGACCATCACTTTTTTTGAAATTACATAAAGACTATGAGAGGCAGGAGCCAGCAATTTATGGTGAGTGAAGCTAGAGTACAGACCTGTATTTTGCATGTTTCAATTCAAGTTTCATTTAGCTAGTAAAAAAATGGCATCATTTATAAAAAAAGTGGTCTAAGTTACCCCATTTTACGGTATATACCTATATATATATATATATTACTTATAATATAACCATTCATTCTGCTTTTTCCATTTGTGAGTTGCGCTATTCAGGCATTTGCTAAAAATCCCTATCCGAAAAAAATCTTGATAACCTATAGATCACACGGAATTTGAAAGAGAGAAAAAATATATATAATTTTTATTTCATAAAATAACTTAAAACGGCCATTGACGCATGCACTGAAATCACGATGGTGTGCTTAATTTATCTTTCTGCTCATCAAGTATTGGCCTTACGACCTTCCTAACATTTGCTGCGCAGTCCGCCGACCATAAACCGCCCTTAATTTGCTCGCCTCCCTCCCCATCGGCTATTGCCAGCCGCGTTGCAGTGTCTCTAATTTATTTTCTCGCTGTTCCCTCCATGGTCAGTCTAATTGGTCATGCTACACTCTGTGGTTTGGACCTGACAACGCCTGCATATTTTGGACCTTAAACGACACCTGCCTGCATCCTGTCATAGAAATTACAACCACTGCTAAGAATCAAACCTTACTAAAATCTATGCCTACAACAACTATTTCTCAACTACGAGAGAACCAAATTCCTCTAAGTTAGGAGGTTATTTTTACTTCCAAGTCCGAAGTCCCTATCTTATTCTATCGCTCAACAAAAATTTATTTTCTACTATAATTGGAGTCCTTTCTTAATTCTACTTGCATGCCCTTAAATTTATTTCTAATATTAAGTATCAGTAGAACAAAAAAACAACTACCAAAGAAATTAATATACCGTCAACCGGGGCTACTCGGGACAAGCGGGGCTACTCGGGACAGGCCTCCGACACATCGTAAAACTGTTGTAGTAGCAAAACTAATTGGAATATTGCAAAACTAAAAATAGTGGCGTAAACGTCAACATTTTTCCTATCTATGTAGTATAAAGGAAGTCCAAAAATACTACATTTACTTGCTTTGAAAAATTCCTGAAAAAAATGGTGAAAAACTATATTTGTAAAGTTACAACTGCTAAGGTATGTAGCAAAAAAAATATGAGTACGCTCTGCATGCTTCAAATGTTTTGAAATGAAGTTTTATTCCCATTGTCCCGAGTAGCCCCGTCGGTCGGGGCTACTCAGGACAATCTTTATTTTGCGTCTGGCACCTTAGGAATAGGCAATAGCATATGGAATTTTTTGACACTGCCATTCGATAGCCCTGGCAAAGAGCTATAAAATGAGCTTAAATTTGTTTATGAAATGTTTCATCCTAAGAAGTTATTAACAGTTATTAACAAAAAAACGATCAAATCTGTCCCGAGTAGCCCTGGTTGACGGTAAGTAAACCATGAACTGACTCCTACTTTCGGGTAGCTCTTAATTCTATCTCTATTGATCAACTTAGAAATATTTTTACATGAAAAAATTTGAGTCCAGCACTAACCCGAAAAACTCCTTACTTCCAAGTTCATAGTTATTTACAATTTATGTAGTTGAGCACTCAAGTCCACTTTTAGCTATCAACTATTGTTTATCCCTGAAGACATTAATCTCTCCATTGAGAACAGTCCTTGTTCCTCTGAGTGGAGCTATGTTTACAGCCACCTAAATTTTTGTTGAGAATTTCCTTTATCGGAGTGTCCCCAGGGCTCTCGGCTTTGACAAGCTGGTCACTGTTGTGGTTTCAGATTTCCCTTGCCCAGGTTCCTAACCGTCTCAGCAGTTAGCCTACCCTTCTCGAGAGCCTAGCCTACCTAATAAATTTAATGACCTGAGGCTAGCCTTTTCCTTCCCCTTAGCTAGATGGTTGCCTGGTTGACGTTGCCTGGATGGTTGATGAGACAAGGGTGGTGTCTCAAATGGACCATGTGGTTGTGGCGAATGGTCCAGTGTTCCGCGAGAGCCGCGGTGGCTCATGCTATCTGGAATACTTGACTCGGCTATGCCATGGGTGGTTTTGGAAGCTTGGCTTGATGATGGTGAAGATAATTTTCATTTGAAATACTTTTTGACTCAGGCAGGCATCAGTCATCTCAGGCATCAGGCTTGGGGCAAACTCAAGATTAAGAATAGAAAATATATACCTTCCTGGCCATGAATAGAGCCTTCTTGGCATTTTTGGATTCGTGAGAATTCTGATACAATCAATATGACCAGTTATAGCCATAACTGGTAATAGCAATAACCAGTATTAGCAATATCTGGTAATAGCATTAACCGGTAATAAAAATGACCGGTAATAGCATTAACTGGTA